GAGAGGAGAGGGATCGATCTTTCCCATAAGATTGTAAGCTTGTTGAGAACAGGGACTGTCTTTCTTTTTTCATATTTCATATTTACATATAATTATCCCCAGTGCTCAGCACATTGCCTAGCACATAATAAGTGCTTAATAACTGATTAAAGTCAGACATTTCAATGATGTACTATCCTCCATTTTAAGAAACCCTTTCCCCTTTGACCTTTTGATGCTCCCTCCCTGCTAAGCCCTAACCCTGAGTCACCCCCACCATATATTCTTTCTCTACTTCTATGCCCAAGAAGTGAAGCATGGCTAGAGAAAGTCATGAAATTTCCCTCTTGGTCTCCTACAACTTTATGCTGCCAAATGTGAAATGACAAATGGCAGTCCTTTTATTCAGCACCGATTAACTCCATACCACATTCCCTACAGCAGCTGTTCCAGACTTTCTCAGGTCTCTTCCAGCCCTAAATTCCGTCTCCACCCTCAGCTCTCTCAAATGATGACCTTACCTTCTACTTTAATGAAGACTGAGGCCATCCTAAATAGGAGGTGTCTTGGAAAGAGCCCTGGATTTGGAATCAGAAAATGAAGGTTCAAGTCTTGACTTCATTATTTTCTAGTGCTTTGACCTTGGGCAAGCAACTCTGTGGGACCCCTGTAAAGTGGAGGGTTTGAATTATGCCAGAGGCTTTGGACTCATTTTGAAAAGGAGGAAATTGATGACCTCTATAATCCCTTCTAACTTTAAAGATCTATGATTCTGTGGTCCCAATATTCTTCCTTTCCTTCTCCATACTTCAAGACCTCTGTCATGTCCCATCTTCTTCACCCTCCATCCAGTCTCCAAGGACGAGGCAGACATCCTTGTCAAATATAACCCTTGTATCTTAATCTCATCTTCTCCTTTTCCTTTAGGACTTTGTTCCATTGATCCTTCTCATCCTCAATTCATCGTCAATCTCTCCCTCTCTAACTGGTTCTTACATGCTGCCTAAAAATAAAAAAAAAAAATCTGCCTACAAACCTTTGACCTTAATTTACTCTCCTGAAACTAGCTTCTTATATTTCTCATTCTGTCACTGACAAATTCTGAAAAAGAGTAGCCTCTGCTTCCTCAACACTCATTCACCCTTGAAGACTCTGCAATGGCTCTGCCTTTACCACTGTGAGACTGCCTTCTCTGAAGTTACCAGTGACTTCTTAATTGAGACCTAGTCTCAATTCTCATCCTCTGTGGCCTTATTATAGCATGTGATGCTGTGGGCCACCTTCTCTTTCTTGGTATTATCTTTGTCGTTAGCTTACATGTCACGTTCCCTTTCTGATCCTCCTCCTACCTCTCAGACCACTTCTCTTTGTCCTTCATTAAGTCTTCACCTTCTGTCCATCCCACAAATGTAGGTTCTGCCACTAGCCTTTTCCCCCTTTTCATTATCTCTCTACATTCTTCTCATTAATTATCTCATCACTTTTAATGGCCTTCATCACCATTCCCTCTCTAAATCTATATTTGGCTCCAGTGTTTCCTGAGCTCAGTTTGGCATTTCCAAGTGCCTATAGTCTATGACCATGGGATGTCCTGTTGACATCTCAAACTCAACAGGTCCAATCCTGTTGATTAATTGAGTGAAGGTTTGATTCACCACTACATATACTTTCCTTCCTTTCTCCTCTATATCATGAAAATTCAAAACCTCAGAATTCATTTTTGAATCTTTCCTCTTATTTACCTTGCACATCAAATCAATTGGTAAGTCCTATTGATTCTCTTTCTGCAATACTTTTAGAATCTGAGCCTTCCTTTCCATTCTCACTACTGCTACCACAGTTCAGACCCTAGTTACTAACCCAGATTGCAATAGTCCCCTAACTTCTCTCTATCCCTCTCCTCTCTCCAATTCCCTTTCATACAGCTGCCATAATAATCTTATAAAAGTATAGGTCTGATTATGTCCTTTGAGAGTAATGATTATTTCTCTCTTGTATTGAAAGCCAGTTATTGAATTGGGACTGGGGTTTCTCCACTTTCTGTTTAGTCATTTAAAGCTCAGGCTCAGTGGATTGCTTGGTCAGTTTTTGAAGGACAGAGCTGATAATGAGATGAAATCTTGGAGGAGACTTGACCAATTGGGACCTTTTAGGTCTGATCAAAAAGTAAAGATATTTTAGTCTAGGTGAATTCTGGCCCATTGTGTTTTAGTCAGACAGGTCTGAGTGGACATGGATTCCACCTTTTGTCTATATTGTCCTAGAAGGCAGTGGTCTGGGTAGAGATTAATCTATTTATCCCTAAGTGTTCAGAGTCATGTCCTTCAGCCCCTGATTAAGGTAAACCCACCTCTCATTATAATATTCATTCTCTCATTACTTATTAACCAATCAAAGTTGATTGCCACCCTCAGGTGGACCCCCTTTCCAAAGGCTTTACGAGTATTCAAGGTCCCCCCGAGAGTCTTCTTTGGTCACCAAGAGGAATAAGTGAGCTCATTTTATTATCTGCTAGCTGTCATTAATAAAATCAATTATAATTTACCCAGAAATTCTGTCTCTCAGAAATTTTCATTTTCCACAGCCTTCCTTGCTTCAAACCTTTAGGGACTACTGACTGGCTACATAAGACAACAAGAAGTCCTTATTTGGTTATTCATAACAACCATCTGGGTTTAACCCATCCTTGCAGCCTTATTCCACGGCACTTCCCTTCATGCATTTTGCAGGCCAACCAATCTGGGCTATTAATTATTTCTTGACTTCATCCTTGACTTTCTCCCTTTCATACATTCTCACAGGTTATATTGTAGGCCTTCAGTGGGCTACACACAAATCTCTGCTTGTTGAAATTATTCTTGTCCTTCAATCTTGAATTCTTCTATGAAGTCTTTCCTAATTCCTTGCAGAGAATGGTGATATCTCCCTCCCCAAGTCTCTCATACTCCTCTCTTTGACTTCTCCTGTGCATATGATAATATAATCTGTTACTGCAGTTACTAGAGGGAGAGTGGCTTAGTGGAGAGATCATTGAAATTGGAGGGAGGAAGATCTGCTATCTCATTTACTAGCTGAGTGACCCTGGATGAGTCACTTAAACTATCTCTGCTTCAGTTTCCTCATCTGTGAAATGGAGATAATAGTAATTTACTATCTACCTCACAAGGTTTGTGTGGGTTAGTGTTTTATAAAACCCAAAGCGGGTCAGTCATGGTGGCTTATACCTGCAATCCCTGCTACTAGGGAAGCTGAGGTTGGTGAATTGCTTGAGCTCAGAAGGTCCAAATTTCAGTGGGCTAAGATGTTCAGGTATCTACAGTAAGTCTGGCACCAAGACGGTGAGCTCCCAAGAGCAGGGTGGCACCAGGCTGCCTAAGAAATGGCAAACCAGTCCAGGTCAGAAACAGAGCAGGTCAAAAAGTCCATGTACCTCAGGCATGATTGGCCACCATGCTTTCAATACTGTGTGAGATGATGAATTCCCAGTCTCAAAAATTAAAATAAAGTTAAATCCATCTATACATAAAATTAAGTTACTGTTATTAATGTCTCTAATGTCTCTAAATTCTTTGAAATTAGGAATGGTATTGTTCTTCATCTTCATATTCTTACTGCTTGGCAGTATCAAATTATATTAGCTTGCAGACAAAAAAGTTTTTCTTCCATCAAATCCTTTGTCATCTCAGAAACCAATTTGATGCAATTTAATTCAACTAGCATTTATTAAGCACAATGTATACAAGGATCTGGGGGAGGTTCAAGGACAAAAACAAAACCATCCTTCCCTGTTAAAGGATCTTATCATTCTATGGGTGTAGATATGGTTCACAAAAAAACATAGTGCAAGGAAATTTGATGTGAAAGAAGGTACTAAAAACAGAGTGCCAATGAAGGCTTAACAGGGTACATATCACTTGAGTGTAAAGGAAGATAAAGATTCTAGGAGCTAAGAGTAAGAAAAGTATTTCAGGAGTGGGGTGCTAATTATGTGAATGCATAGAGGTGGGAGATAGGATATAGAATTTAGGGCAAAGCTAGCACACCAGTTTGGTTGGAACATGGAGATTCTGAAGAGCAGTAGTATGAAATAAGGCTGAAATCATAGGTAGGAACTGGATTGTAGAGAGCTTTAAAAGCCAGCCTGAATATCCTGTAGGCAATAGGGAGCAATTGAAGATCTTTCAGCAGGAATGGAATAATTCTAGAACTGGAATAATGAATATAATAGTGGGCTTGAAGTCATGAAGATGTGAATTCAAATTCTACCTCTGATATTTATTAGCTGTGTGATCATAGGCAAGCCATTTAACTTCTCTGAGCCTAAGTGGCCTTGAAATTCTCTTCTGGCTGTAAATGCATGTCCTATAACCTTGCCTTAAGAAAATTATTTTGGTGGCTTTTCAGAGGACAAATTGGAAAAGGTAGAGATTAGAAGCAAGGAGACCAATGAAAAGGCTATTAAAGTAGTCCAAGAGAAATCTGATGAGGGCTTAAACTATAGTGGTGGCCATTTGAGTAGAGAAGGTAATGTATCAAGTGAGCACTAGGGTTAGGCAAGCTCCAGAATGGAGGCCAAGCAAATTCCCATAATACCAGACCACTAAGCAATAATTCATCTACTGGGCAAATGATTGAGTGCTCATGCATGGATTCAACTCCAGACCTTGAACAACACAAGTAAGGGAAGGAACAATATAGAGGCAGTGTGCATATACCATTTCAGTGAATACTCAAGGCTTACTCTTCTAGGCTCCCACACTTTCTTTCTACACTCCCACACAACTTAAAATGTGCCATTAGGAATTAGTTACCCCACAATCTGCACAAGAGCCTCAAAGGAAATCTTGATGCATTCCAGATGACATAAAAAAGATATAGCATTATTTGTACAGGACTAAGCAGGGTGATGATAAAGGGGAAATCATTTTTATTAAATCCTTGAAGGTTATATTGTTAGCGTTCAACTGTAAGGAAGAACTATCTGATCATTGGGCTAGAGGGGAAGGTGTAACTTCTAAAAGCTAGGAGTTCAATTATTTTATTTTATTAACAGGGCAGAAACTCGCTTATGGTCTCCCCAAGTTTCAGAAGATGGGAAAGCACATCCTTTCAAAATCAACTTGGAATCAGAACCCCAGGTATGAGCTGTAGAGTAAATGATTCTGGTATTTTGCTATCCTCACTATCCCATGTGTTTTTTTTTATACTTTAAAATTGACATGGTTCATTTGCTATTGGGTTTCCATTTTGGATTTCCAAGTTCTTTCCTATAAACCACTACCTACACTAACACCTAATGATTAGTGACTGATGGTGAGTTTTAATCAAAGTTTTCATGCTTAAAAATAGGTTTTAAATTAAGCATACTATAAGCATTTTGTCATTAATAGAGTCTATAGGTGTAATCTACTTTCCTTGGAACTGTTTACATCATTCATGATACTGAATAAATGAAAATATTTCCCATATTCTTAGACCTTTCAAATGCTCCCTTCTCAGCATATCTATTCAGACTGTGGATTCCTTTGAAGTGGAATAAAACATCAGAAACTACCCCCACTTCCCACAAAACACTTGCTCCAATGTTTTGTCATGACATGGAGTTAACCTGGGCTTCCTGAAAACTATGTCACTAGATTGCAAGTTCAGGAAGCTTCAACCAAACTGGAAGGCTTTCAATATGGCACTGTCTATAGACTGCATCTGTTATCCTAGAATCACCCTGGCTAAGTAGAGAAATGCTCATCACCAGAAGGTTAGATACTATGGCCATGGCAACCCATCAAACACAAAAATACAAATGGCCCAATATTTGATATGGACTCCCTCTACTACTACAATAACAAAGGGGGAAAGGGGAACACAATGTACTAAGAAAATCAGTTTTTAAAATATATGTGTATGTGTGAGTATGTAGAGAGAAAGAGAAATGATAAATATGTAGAGTAGGAGAAATAGATAGATAGATAGACAGATAGACAGACAGACAGACAGACAGACAGACAGACAGACAGACAGATAGATAGATAGATAGATAGATAGATAGATAGATAGATAGATAGATAGATAGATAGATAGATAAATGCTTGGATGGATGAATGGATGGATGGATGGATGGATGGATGGATGGATGGATGGATGGATG